CGCAAAAAAAAGTACATTGAATGATTTTTTTTTTATTTATATCTTCAAATATTGAGGAAGTCAACTTAAATTTTTGAGACAATAGGAACTTTCGATATAATTTAGTTAAATCTCAGATAACATAATTTATTCTTGTTAATAAAATATGACAACAAATTACTAAATCATGTAGAAAATGATTTTTTATATATTAATCTGTAGATAAAATGAATATTTGTAGTAAAGTCCATCTATATAATTTGCATTTTAGTACTAGCGTGAGTATTACCAGCATCAACCTGAAGATTACACAAAATTGTACGAAGATGCAAACGATGGAGGCAAAACGGTCAGAAAATTGAAAACATAGAGCTCCCTTTCAGTTATCACCCCGCCCACACGGCCAACAGAAAAAGCATGCGAAGCTTATTGCTAGTAGGTGGAGGGGGAGTTCCTCGTTTTCCGAGTTCACTCAGCTTCTCTTTCTACAAATCTAACAAACTTTTGCTGTCTGCCCGAGCCACTGCGACGATGGCCACTGTTGAGGAGTTCGTGAAGGGCAATGTTCATCCCAACGGCGTCGCCGTCATCACCCTTGATCGCCCCAAAGCTCTCAACGCCATGAACCTAGGTTTTCTTTCGCATTTATTGGCATTTATCATTCTGTGCTTTCGTTATGCAGAAGCTTTTTATACTAGTTTCTTGAGTTTTTTGCTTGATGTGTTTAGTAACGAAATGTATTCGAGGTGTGCTTCTGGTAGTTTTAGTTCCATTACAATACAGAGTCATGGGGAGCTCGTAAGACCTAGATTAGTTATGTAAGCACCCGGAAATTGGGGTTGTGATGATTGGGGATTTTGAATGCAGATTCGTTGACTGTTTAGTTGCAGGGTAAAACAATGGTCTGCGAATTCTTTCTTTCTCGTTCTACTAAAGTTGACTTTTTCTTAGTGAGTAAGCTGTTCCTCTTGGAAATATGTGGCGCAGATATGGACATAAGGTATAAAAGTTATCTGGACGCGTGGGAATCGGATCCAAATGTCAAATGTGTTTTAATTGATAGTAGCTCATCTCGTGCCTTTTCTGCAGGTATGATTCGGTTATCAAGAATCACATAATTCCCTTCTCTTTCTTGGCCATTTTTCAATATCAACATGTTTCTAGCATAGACATTTCATACACAGCTCTTTTTGGAGGGAATCTCCTTTAGACTTAGGATTATTTGGTTTCAAGTGTTGGGTAATATTTGAGGGCTAACATTGATGGTGAATGCAGGAGTGGATATTAAAAGGGTTGTTGTTGATATTCAAAATGACAAAAGAACGCCTTTAGTCAAGAAGTTTTCTTTTAATACTTGTTTCTCCTCCATTCTGCACATATTTGAATTATTTTGTTTCTTGGTTGTGCGTTTCTGTCAAGAATAAACAACTTCTTCTGATGCTAGATTAGTTCATTGCCATGAGTTCTTTCACATAATTATCTATTGCTAGTTAATAACTGCGATCTTAGTTTATCTGCAGGTGGTGATGTGAAGCAGATAACAATAAAAAACCAGCTATCAGATATGATTGAGGTCCAACTGTGTTCTTGTAGTTATGTCTTTAGATTCATGTAGCCTTTATTATTTATTAAAGACTTGCCATACGAATACCTATCATTTATTGGTTGGGGACCAGTCATGTTCTTCATAACAAGTAAAGTCTCACGTTTTACTCATGAAAGTTAGCTTTAGTTGTTTTGTTTAACGTACCATAAGTATGACAGTTGATGTTTTGGGCATCAAGTTTAAAAGATTAATTGTAAAATACGCATATTTGGCATCTTTTCTGAGTATTGGTTTGTACATCTGAACTAGATTGGTTGTTAGCTATGTCATATGGTTTATTGGGAAAGAATGGAAAGAATGGCGGGTGCAATTGAGATGGTTTTAGACGAGTTTATTTGTATTGATTGAATTACATTTTATTCCTTATCAGTGCTGTCGCCTGATGTCAAATCTGTTATCCAGCCTCTTGTATTTTTGCATCATTTGTTGATGTATTATGACAAATAATGGCCCTATTATGCTGCATTTCAGATTTTCTCTGCTGAGTATTCTTTGATATGCAAAATTTCTCAGTACAAGAAGCCATATATAAGTCTCATGGATGGAATAACAATGGGTTTTGGAATTGGACTATCTGGTCATGGCCGCTATCGTGTTGTAACTGAGGTTTGCACTTTATGATTGTGGCTTGTTTAATTGTAAGTATATCCTAAACTTTTAACATTGCAGATCTTGCTTTTGAGTTTCCCCCCTAATGTGACATTTTTCAGAGGACTGTTCTTGCAATGCCAGAAAATGGAATTGGTTTGTTCCCAGACGTAGGCTTTTCATATATAGCAGCACAAAGTCCAGGAGGAGGATCTGTTGGTATGTTTTTAACTTTATACTACCTTCGGTTCTAAATACAAGATCCACTTTGTACTAATATTTTATATTTAGGACTAGAGGTAGTAGTATTTTAGAATACTGAATTCCTCTTTTTATTTCTTTCAATAGATGAACTTATAAGGATCAGAGGGGTGGTCAGAATATCATCTTCTGTTTATCTTTTTGCACACTACTCCCCCCTCATCACTTGTCCTCAAAATACTGGGCATGGTCTTTACTTAGAGTTTCATTTCTACTTCTGATCAGTCTTGTCAAATATGCTTCACTGGCTGTTTCACTTCTTCCAATGGTTTCTAATACACGGGTCAATATGAAAATTTTATGCATTTCAGGTTCTTATCTTGGATTGACGGGAAAAAGGATTTCTACTCCTTCAGACGCAATATATGTTGGCCTGGGAACCCATTATGTACCATCTGAAAAATTAGGTCCACTGAAGGAGGCCCTTTTGGCAACAACCTTGTACGTCTCAGTCACATCCACATGAATGCATACACATGCACACTTGGGCACGCGCATGAATACACTTGATATATAACCATTCTTTGTTGTTTGAAAATGACTAGGAGTCACACACAGAGAGCGCATATGTGGCCTATGATTTGGTACACCATTGTAAGCTAGAAAGATCAAAACATACACACTGACACACACAAAGGTGCATGCACACACAGCCTATCATTTGGTAACGATTAGTATGCTAGAAAAGTAACTGCAAATATACAGCCATATCTTATTGTTTGAAAATGATCAGAAATCTGTGTCTCAATGGACGACTTTCCTATAAAATTATTACCCCCTACCTTTTGCTTAGATTATATACATGTAATACAAACGATGTTTAAATTAGTCAGCTACATTGTGGAATATTGATTAGTCAAATTCATAATGCAAATTACCAATCTTTAAGGATAATTGTCTTGCCAAATCCGGTGATCATGCAGTTCACATGATCCGCATCAGGACATCAAAGTTCTTCTGGCAAAATATGAGTCCACTCCTGAGAACGAGGCGCAGTTGAAATCACTTTTACCTCAGATTCTTTCATCTTTTGGAGTAAATAAATCGGTTGTAGAGACAATTGAAGAGCTAAAAAAGCACCAATCTAGTACTGATCCTACCGGTATGCTTATTGACCTCCTTGCTGATGTTCAGAGTTGTGGGTCGCCTGATTAATATATTCATTTGCATTTTACCTTAGTTGTGAAGTGGGCTAATGAAGCCCTCGAAGATCTTGGAAAAGGGGCTCCTTTTTCACTTTGCTTGACACAAAACTACTTCTCTAGAGTTGCCTCTGCTCAGGGAAAAAATGACAACGAATTATCCACGGTAAGTCTGTAGTTTTCTGAATCCATTAGATTTTGATAGTTTTTGTTGATTCCATTCAAACTTATTAATTTACAATGTGTGCTACGCCTGCGCTTGGACAAATTCAGCTGTGTGGTGTAATGAAAACTGAATATCGCATTGCCTTAAGGTCTTCCCTCCGACATGACTTTGCAGAAGGTGTCAGAGCTTTACTGGTGGACAAGGATCAGGTTCTCTTTTCTTACACCTTCGTATTCTAAAATTTGATATAGAAACAATGTCGTTATATCGCGAAACGGAAAATATAGGTGCAGTGTATATTTTGAAATAGAATTGTTGGTGCTACAGACACGAGCCAGCAAAGCAAAATTTATGCTTCGTGCCTAGTTTGCTTGTTCGGAGGCTTGGTAATGGTACAAGGTTGAAGGATGTACTTGTGCTACCTAATAACTACACCTGGCTTCTTATACAATTAGTTCCTTATTAGGATTAGTACGATTAGTCCTCATCACTCTGCTATTTCATATTTCCTCTTTAACCCGGAAAATGATTTAACCTTAAATATTCGGTATATATTGTTCTCTGTTTACAGTGGTGTTCAATGATTATTTTCCTGCAGAACCCTAGGTGGAAACCGTCAAGCTTGGAAGAAGTTGATCAGCGTGATGTGGAATCCGTCTTTGAACCACTAGGACCAGAGACTGGGGAGCTCAATGTGGCTTAGAAGGAAACTTTACTCATCAAACACGAGATTTTAGATAAAGGAAAAATAAAAAAAATAAAAAACCGCCGAAATTAGAGAATTTCATACAAGGACTTGGTCTCAAAATTACTAATGAGTTCTTATTTGCAATTTTTTTTATTCCGGCGGTTTTTTTTTTTGTTTGCAATTTTCCCTTAGATAAATACAGCAAATAAGCGATCGGGCTTTTCTCCTCTACTTAACTGCTTCTCTTCTACCCAAAACTGAGTACCATTTTGAGTGTAAAAACTGATGATTAAAAATTACTCATATTACCTTTAAGCTCCGTTCCTCTGAAGTGGATTTGGAAGGAATGAGTGAGGAAATATTTTACTCCCCCCCTCTCACTTGGTTAAAGAAAAATAGAGGGGAGTCCCCTCTCCTCCTATCCCTCCCCTTTAAAATGAGGGGATTTAGATAGAAACGCTATGTTAGTCTATTACGCCTTTGTTGTCCCATCTCCTTTCATTAAACAACCACTGTTAGTCTACTACGCATGGACTTTATGTTCAATGGATGTGCGCATGCACACATAACTATTTTAATCGCTCACAACGATGGGTCAGCATCGAACCTCTGAGAATCTGAACCAACATAAGTACTAGAGCAGAGTAGAGTGTAGTGTACACACACACACACACAGAGCACAGAATTGCTTGACAAAGCAGTACAACATGTGGGATAAATAGAATTGCTTCATTGTTATGAACAATCTCCAATTCTTAGGCTTCGTAGCAGATCAAGATATCCAAGACGTTCAGGACGGATGTACCTACAAAAACAAACCTTAGTTTTATACATCCGTGGAAAAACAACACAAGTACAAATGCAACTTATGATTTTCTTTTCTTCTCTTCTCTTTTTTAATTGGGAAAGCAAGGAAAGCATAATGCCTCTACTTAACAGACCATAACATCTAATTGGGGAATCACAGAAACAAACCTCTAGTCCTTAATATAATAGGTAGATAACTAATTTAAGAATATTAAGTAAATTAGTTAAATTAGTTAATTATAACAAATACATGTTGATTTTTTTAAACTATCCTCTTTAATCATATGTTGAAATTACCTCTCAGTGGGAATATTATATAATCAATAAAAATATTTTGAAGAAAAAATTATCAATTTGGGAGACAAAATAAATTAAAATATTATATTTAGAATCAAATTTAACTTTTAACTAATTCTTGTATTAAGAATTGGAGGTAATATTTCATAATGGGCGAATCAAAATATTTCTTAATACCACTCTAAATAAATAACTTAAAATCACCACTTCATATACATTTTAAAGATTTTGTAGTTTGGATCCTCTGCAATAATGCGGTAGCGAGACAGAGAGTTGGGTCTGACTTAATTCTGCCCGGACTCAGATTTTTGTGGGATGGGCCTTTGATCTTCCTTTTTTATCTGATGATAGGTATGAAAAAAAAACTGTGTAGAGAAAGTAAAGCGGAAGAAATACCCATGTCGAAACAAGAAGTCAATGATCACGAGGGAGCAATTTGGCTTGAAAAACTGTGTCTTGCGTATGACTTCTGCAACTTGCGTAATAGGAATCAGCTTAAAGCTCTCCACTTCTCCGTCTGATATGATATAAAGTCAGTTATAATGAATATTTACTAGAGAAGATGAAGCCACCTATTGTGTATAATAACACAGTCAGAGAAGTTGGTCCCCAAAAAAAAAAAAACACGGTCAGAAATGCATCACTGGAACACAGCTACATAAATTAAATACCTTCATTTGTTGGTTCGAAACTTTCAGGAAGTTTCAAATCGTAACAGAACAGAACATCTCTCTTATATCTGCATCCATCTATGTCCACATACGAAACAGCTCCAACTGGTATGGCTCTGTGAGAAAAGGAATCTACAGCATTAGACAACGAGAACGCCTTTTTTTTGCCCTTTAATTCTTGGTATCATGGCCGTTATGACATACAAAAGATAAGAACAGACCTGATCAATATCCTAAACAGAACAGGAAGAACAAAAAGGATGAAGAAAACTCACTTCAAAAGAAAATCAGGTCAGAGGTAGGGTAATACGGCTGTTATAAAACTTACCCGTTAGAGATGGATCTGGGAATTCCTGCTTCCTCTTCACATTCCTTTGCAAGATTCTCTTGACAATCAATCCCATGAGGCTGTGATTCCATATCAATAGTTAATCAGAACCCTAAAGATTCATGAAGTAAAAGAGACTTCAGGAAACACTTGACAAAGAATTGATGGGATGAGTAGACAAACGGACTATTTATAAAGCACCAATACCCTTGAATATTAACAGTCATTTGCTATTCTCAGGTTTTCTTTCTTTTCGTTTTTTTCCTTGTTTTCATTTGACTTTTGATTCACCTACTTAGCAAGTAATACACACCAGTCCTCCAGCAACTAGATGATCTAGCATCCCAGGATAAGTGGGTTTTACTCGACTTCTCTTGCCTATCCACAGATGTTTCTGCCCATTCTTCTCAACATAGCCACTCATATGGACTCCATAAGCCTAACCTTTGAAAAGAAAAGGAAAATATTAAAGTGGAAAAGGTATTAAAATAGGAACAAATATGGCTATGGAAACCGACGATAAGTATAATTAAAGAAAATCTAATTCAGGATCCAAATGAGGTAATCCTGTATCAGAGCCTTTTGCACTAACCTTTATTCCAAAATAAGGAGCTGCAGCACGTTCTAAAGAAAAGAAAGTGGGCGCACCAAATGATGATGTTACAGGGAATAACTGACAAAAGATGGACAAGAAGAACAAGTATGCTTCATAGAAAATATAAAATAAGGATGACAAAACATGGACACCTTTACATATCATAACCAGTACCTCATTCCGTATACCTGGAACCCATTCTTCTCCCAAACACTTGACGACATTTCCAACCGCAATGGTCCTCTGCTCAGGCGTCTTCAGTATTGGATGTAATGAAACATAGTCATCAAAGGGGGAACCGTATAATTTATCTCTAGGGAAAATGAACACATCCTTGAAGGTCCTCAATCGATCGGCAAATCTAAAAAAATTCATACATGACAAATCCGCCACCATTATTGACTTCGGTGAATAATAGCGTCACAGCGACATGATTTAGCTAGGACCAAACACCATAACCAAACCAAACGACAACCACGAATAACTAGTCATGAGAAGAACTGAGCATCTAACACAGATTGAGTTAGAAAAATTTTACCCATTGTGAATGAATCCAACAATTTGGTCCTCAATGACAAAAGGAAGGAACTCACATTGCTTTTCCTGCAAGCCGACTCAATATTTATAACAAACACCATGAGTTCCATTCGCCGAGAAACCAATAAATGTACAATTTGAATAGAAAGGCCACAAGGATCAAGCCATTAATAAGAATATACAGAACTAAAGGCCCAATTTAAAAAGGCAGGGGAAAATAACAGAATAGAGAATTCCTGAGAACTTACAGAACCACGATTGCATAATTTAACTTTCTCGAAGTAGCCTTGGAGATAAGAAGAGGAATCTTCTGCGCTAGAATCAGACTGAGGTGTAGAAAGGACATCTTCCCATGAGAAATTGCCAGTGATTGACCTGGAAGAAAAAGCGACGTCGACAGAACTTCGTGTGGATGCCACGACGCGCGAAGGGATTAGAGGCGCCACTTTCATGGGAAGAAAATAAGAGGTTCTATAGGGGACGGAAGAAAACGAAGAACAGGCTCCACAAGGGCGACTGGCAGCGAAATTGAACAAGCCAGCCATTCCCATCAGCTTGTGCACTTCGCTTCAGTAGTGTTGTAATTGATCGACCTGCACGGGCAGAGTCAAAGCTTTGAACTGGTTTTACGCGGTTTTTTTTTTTTTTTTTCCGGGCTTTCAAGGTTCAAGTTTTCTATTAACCCAAGGGAACCTCGTTTTCTGTATTTAACACTTCACCTCGGTCTGGCATTTCTTGAAATATATGTCAGGAATTCAATTCATATGGAGAGGATTATATGATCAGTACTAAAACCCTCTAGAAGTTCACCTGATTTCGTATTTATAAAAGTGAAGTCAAGTCCTTATTTGTTTTCTAAATTCATAATCTCAAATTGCAATTTTACATATTCGGGAGTTTTTATTTGCAATTTTCCCAAATTTTATCACCCAAATTTGTAATTTATTCTCCAAAATATTCCTATTGATTACATATGTCAAAAGATTTTCATCCAAAAGTAACCATGATTAAAAAAGATACTTTAGAAAAATTAATTCATCTTTGTTCTAAATAACTAATTTAACTAATTTTCTTAATATACTCAAATTAATTAAGTAGTTTTCATATTAAAGACAGGATATAGTAATATGTAAATACAGCTACAATCTAGTTTCTCGTGCCTTTTTTCACTTACATGGCAATGCACAGATTTTTAGTATTTACAATGTAAAATGCAGTTTCTTCAAGGTCTACTTTGCTTCCAAAGGGACAAGGAAAAAATGAACACATGTACAAGGCAGCTCTGTGATTTCAGCAGGTCCATAGCTCCATGTAGATCCGCAAGACAGTGCTTTTCAACTGAATGTTGTGGGCATGCCAAAGATGCTTCTGCGAGAAATGAAAATGCACAGGTTTTCGCATATTCCATATTCCACTCAGGAGTCAGTAACTGCTACTCTGTCTTCTTCTCTTTCTTTGAATTGGACTTCACACGTAGCAATCGTGACATAACATATGACAAGAGTTCTTCATGGTGGGAGAAGGTAAAGTCCAGATGAGCATATTCGAACTCATTATATGAAACATCCACACCAGAATCATGCATGAATAGATAGTGCCTTTTAACCATGGAAGGTCTTATCACTCTGTCTTTCTGTCCAGCAACCAGATCACAGGAATATCAATAAGCTGATAGAATTCACCCAAATCCAAAGGTTCTGGCGAACCATACGCCTCCATATTAGCAGATGCGTTCCCATGATCGAACATTCTAAATCTTCCCGCGTGCTTCATCTGTGCAAGATGGAGAGCAACACGGAAAGATACTCCTGGCATATCATTCATATTGTAGTGAGGTAATCCTAAAACCCCAACCCAGTTTGAGCTGTCTCCACCAACAACATAACTCATCAAAGTTTGAACCAATCCTCCAACTGCAGGAAGGTTATGCAGATCTCGAGCTAACTTGTTTAGAAGCATGCGGAAAAATCTGGTTGGTATATAGAAAGCAGGTAGAACATGAGACAAAATTGGAGCAACCAGGAACAATAGTTGCTCCAACACACAAAAAACTAGGTTGGAATCATCGTGAAATCCGGCAGGTGATAACAAAACCAGTCTTGAAAGTCTATGAGGCTTCTCTTTATCCTACGTGTAATAATATACATTATACTAGCAGCTCCTCCTAAACTATGGCAGATTGCACAAAAGCTGTAAGGCTGATTACCATTAGATTCTTCCACAATATCAGGTTGACTAATACTCAATTCAGCAGTTTTTACTTGATGAATTTTTTCTATCATCGCAGAATATCCTTAGTCCCATGTTCATTGATGGAGTACCGCCAGTATCTGCACTCCATCACATCATGTCACAGCACAGACCAAAAATGGATTTAAAAATATGCATGAGATGTTAAATCAAATGATTACATTAAACATCAAAACAATAAAACCAAGTAATCTTTTTGAGCTTTGACTTACTGATATGAGGAGATGTTCTTGTTAACATGTTCCCGAGATACCAAACCACGAAAGTTCCCCAGAAATACATCATATCCTGAGAATAAAACAACTATCAATACCCATTCATAATCCTGAAGACATTATTATAAAAAATATGACAGACCTTGATCATATGCTGCAAAAGCGGGCGAGCCAACGACCCCATTAGATACCCAACTGGACCAAAAAATTTAACCGATCAGAATACAAATACCACAAGTATCAACAACCACCGAGAATAAAGTAATCTTTTTTTTTTTTTGGGGGAAAGAAATTGAATTTAAAACTGAGGCATGCCGCTTAAGGAGGTGACCAAATAATTTGATTTTTTAACTCCCAATAATAGAAGAAATTTACCACAGTAAGATATGTAAACAATACAATGGTGACCCCCCCCCCCGGGGGGACAAAAGTAAAGCAGCAAAACCACGTCAATACAGTTGAGCTGATCAATCCCTCAGCATGTCTAGCAAGAAAATCACTATAATAGAAAGAGCTTAACATCAAAAACACTTGTGTAAACAACTCTGTCTATAACAAGTAAAATAATTTCCCTCCAACGATATGATGATTATGTTGCAATCAAATGCATGAAACCACCACATAAATGTCACACCACCAGAAGACCTCGCCTCTTCAGTCTTCACTCTGATCATAACCTTATAAAATACATCAATAGAAATTGCTCCAAATAGGACAAACACCGGATTCTCACCTACTTCAGAAGCTGGTGGGGCCAGGTGAATCTTTCCCCCCATTTCTCACCTTCATATTTAAGTTCTCCCCAGGCTCCACTCATCTTTGATCCGCCAGTGACTCCAGAAAAAACAAACTACTTGGCAATTCACAAATGATTCTCACCCCTTACTGTACTTAAATCCAAATGATTCTAAGTAGAAAACTATCCTTATCATTCAGTTTCCACATTCCACAATAGTATGAGCTTCAACTGAACAACTGTACAAATCAAACGGAAGAAAGAAGCCCATGGTCTCGACTAATGATCTCACAATCTCGAATTTCATCCCAAAAAAAAAAAAAGAATAAAGAATAAAGAACTCTTGAGAAGTTGCCAGACACAGAATTAAAGAAAAAACTCAATCTCATAAAGATCCAAGTAACAGAAGCATATCATATAAGCAACAGCAACATATACATATATGAGAGAAAATTCTAATAACAAGCATGTATAACTAGAATGCATGTCATTCTGTTTGATCCCAGTTCTATTCATGCGTGATGCATCAACAATGTGGTAATAAATATCAAGCATTCCAATATTATTACTAAAGGACAGGTAAAAATCCCAATCTGGTAATCAAATCAAAACTAGGAAATAAAGACGCAACAAGATGACTCACCCCATTGATGAATCCAAAATCCCATGCTGAAGATAAACAGCTTGCCGTGCATCTCGTCTGTGACATCAGATTGAAGTCATTAGATGTTAAACACTGCAATAAGTTATGGCAAAGCCTCCTCAATCTAAAATCCTAATGACCTCAACATTCATCTCTATTCCTAACACAAAAAACATTACAGAGGTTTAATAGGAGTCAATCAGTAGCACGCAAGATATCTCCTATCCCGTTGTGGTCAACCATAGATAGCCAAATGTCATTCATCGAAATTAACTTTGCAAGTTAAATAATCTCTATAACGAAGAGGATCGATAATTAAATTCAAGGTAGTCGAAGACAATAGTCACACTCAAAGCGCCAGACTTTAAAACGCCCTAGGGACGAGAGGTGCTAAAAAGACGCTTGCCCAAATGAAGTGAGATAGTAAAAAAATATTCATAACTATAAAATGAAATAAATATTAACTCATAAAATATTTTAAATATAAACTTAATACGATAATTTAAAATTCAAACTTTCCTATTTCTATTATAAAATTCTCATCTCATATTTATATTTATAAATAAATTTTTTATCCTATTTTCATAATGATTAACAAACTATATTGTGGAGGTTACTTCCCAAGAAGGCTCTATTTCACCTGGGTATTCTTTCCAAAGAAGAACATATCCATCAGAAGTTATTACACGAATGGCTTCATATGGGTACCTGTCATACGTAAAGGGAAAAACAGATGAAGCAAACATGCTAATTTTTTCAAAATGAAATAAAATAAAAGTAAATGATGTGTGTATTAGTGCCTTTACCCAAGCTCCGTTATGACATCCTGACATGTCCGAGCATCTGTATTCAGAGACTGGTAAAAACTGGTATTCCTCACTGTGGGTTTTGGGTCATTCTTCACATGCGTAGACGTAGAAACAGAGGCATCCACAAGGGTAGCATGATTATCGTTAGCACGGCTTTCATGAGATGAAAACAACCCGAACAATGTCCTGAAAGATTCTGATGGGAAAGAAGAAGATGCACAGCCTTGTGCACAACATCGAATACACCTTCTATAAATATTTCTATGGCTAAATGAAGATCCTGGATGACCAAAATTTAATAAGCAACCCAATTAAATGGTTTTGAAATCAAATTTAAAAAAGGTAAAATAAAATTAAAAATTAAAAAAAAATCCAAGTTAATATATAGCAAGGCTGAACAACCTCTATGACTCCGCGTCTCCGATCAGTAGTACGATGAATAATGTAGTCCTTGAGGCTTTGCATGCTCTTATTTGAATATGAACGTGCAGGGCGCCGGTTTCCAGAGGTAGACAGGGCTTTTGACACCATAGAAAAAAAGAACCGGAAAAGCCGGAATGGAATCTGCGGCAAAATCTTGACAGGAAAGCAAACCCAAAATATGACACAGCGGATCCAAAACAGAACAAGCCGTCGCAAAACTTGAGAGGAAAGAAAACCCAAAATAGGAAATACTGTATCCATGTCATACGCTGCTTATTGTGTTTCGTAAAATTAGCACGATTGACTCTGGAGCTTTGGTATGATGGAGATGCACTATATTCGTACTGATCACCATCTCCTTCTCCAGATGAGTGCTCCAAGTTTGAAGTATCAGAATCCACAGAAAGTTCATGAATGAATTGGTTGAAAGAGGACACGCCACTAAAAAAAATTAGAAACACAAGAGGAAAACGATGTCAATAACAGATTACAAGATCACAGGCATCGCTTGTACAGTAGGCATGCGTTAAAAACCATAACAAATTGCTTAATCTGCAAGTTCTAGAATAATTAAAGAA